GTCGACTAGTTCTACAATCGACGCTTCCCCAGGGTTAATCGGTGGTACAACGGCTCCCGGAGCAACTACATTGTTGTTTTCCCCGTGAAATCCAAGACCATCATCGCCATGTACGGGTGCATTTTGTGATTTTGACATGTTTTAACCTGAGAACAAAAATTCTTGACAAGAACAAGTGTGAAAATAACGTGCGTTATCAGAATCAGTACTAAAATACTCACTATTATCTTTAGCCCGGCGCCAAATTGTTTACCCTAAAATTCGAGTAACAATTAAACTTGTTTTGTGATTTTAAAGATATGTGATTTAATCTAATACTAATTGATAAACAAGGAATCTAATGTGTAAATTTAAGAGTAAGGCAAGTCAAACCAATAGTGTAAGCAGACCTCGACCTCGAGCAAGGGCGACCTCGAGGTAAATGAACAAGAACAACAAGAACAATCAAATAATAATAAGACCATTCAGATGAACAGTAGGCAAAAAAGTGAAAATGTATATTCTCTTCTTAATGATTCATCCTTTACAAATGATTGGGGTCCCCTTTATATAATAGGGGAATCCTAAATAAGGTAAAATTTTAGTGGAAAATCTTATTATACAGTTGTCTAACCGCCTAGTACAAATCCGTTCCGAAATTTACGCGGTGATCATAGGGCCACTGCGGGAATCTCGCTCTTTCTGTTATGGGACCATAACGGTATTATCTCGAGGTCGGTCATACTTGGCCTCGGTGTTCATCGAGCTTTTCGATCTTCGAAGCTTGTACTTTGCCATCGGGCTCACGCCTGGTCTATTTCGATCTTGCTCTCGAAGTGACCCTCGAGCCCATGAAATCGGGCATACATGATTTCGACCGTATACAGATAGCCCTCGCGTTTCTTAGAATAAAATGATAAGAAACGACTTGAGCCTCGATTTTCCGGATTCCTTGATGATGACGTCATTACCGTGACGTAGGCGCTCGAAGTGACCAAAATATCCCGTCGATTCACTTCCCCAAAACATTAATTGCTTCACCAGTGGTGGTCGGCCACTAGCACCGTTGAAGGCAATATCAAAATTTTGCGGGTTCGGCCGAACCCAATAGCTTTTGTTCGAACTTTATATTTGTCTTAAGAAATTCATTAAACATATACAAATTATTAATTTAGAACCCAGTAATTTAAAAAGATTACAATATCGAACCCATAAACTTTAAATTGTGGCTCTGTCTCTGCTTACTTCCCATGAAACGTTAGACATTAGTCTAGTAGAGCACTAGCCTTTCTTATTTGAGTATGAAAAATCATGACTTTTGAATTCCAACTACAGACTCGAGACACTTGATCAAATGCATGCAAAGATCGTCTTTTGGATTCACTATAGTCAAAGATATCTGTGTGATGTTTTCACTACATGTGCCAAAAATATATGCACAAATCTTGCTGATCAATTAAATGCATAGACGAGATAAAGAAAAACGAAAATATTAGCACAAAAAGAAATAGAAAAGGCCGAATTTTTTTTCCCCATTTGGGTACACCATCTTTTCAGATACTGCAAATGATCAGTTGGTTAGCCAACCAAATATGAGAATTTCCAGGGTTGCACTTTGAAATCAATAGAGTACTTAAATCCTTTCTTAGCCTTCATGCTTAAGTTGGAAATATCCAAATTTAAATTAGAGTATAAGGTATATACATTGCCGGTGTAAAGAATTTTTACATGATCAAGTTACCCAGAGGATATATAGGCAAGCTTCTTTAAAATATGAAATTTATAATTTTGAAGATATAAGATTGATTATATGTTAATTACAACAGATAAAAGTGACTTGATGGTGTAAAATACCTTATACTAACAGTGTATATAACTTAACCTCAATTAAATATGTTAGACAGTCGATGCGTATTCTGTTATTGAATGTATAGAAGTCAATTCAAGGCAGACCTAATCTTGTGCGCTCGGTGAAAATTGTTCACCAAGACTTGAAAAGATGACTTGAAATCAATTAATATCTTAGACTTCGATATGATTTTAACCTGAAAGTTCATGGTTCTCAACCCAATTTATTGATCATTAGGCCACACCCTTTAGCGCCGCTCAATCGGTTTATTTACCTTGAAATTTGTCTCAAATTCTAAAGTTGGATTAAGGTTTATTTCGAAGGCTTAATTAAATACACGAAAATTCGAAAACTAATATTCCTATTATACCTAGAATTTGAGTTTCTTCTATGTTTATAAGATCATCTTTAACATTGGGATCCTTTTTTAAATGAAAAATCTAGTGTATGTTCGTATATAGCTAAAAAAAAAAAAGGAACTAGAAGTAATATATTATGCATGGCAGCAACTACGAAAACTACAACAACCTCCGTAAACAGATGACTTGTCAGTTAATTTTTTCATTATTGTGCCATTGTAGTTATAAGCTTCAAATCTCTGATATGGTGATATATCAGATTGTTGGGTCTAGTTAGGTAATGGTTGCTTAAATTAGAATGTCATTATTGGTTGCATTCAATTATACTTAAGATGATTGTGTAAATAATTGGTCATGAATGAAGGATTAGGTTAACATCGATCTTTGATCCAGATTTAGACTATAAATAAGCATATAGGACACAAAGATACCATATAAAGAAACATAACCCAGCTCTTGGAAAGTGAAAGTTTGCCTTTGTTTGGAAATAAATTATCTCAAAATTAATTATTTCAAGGTTGTTATATTCTACCCTCCCAAAGGACTAAGAATAATATTACAAATTCAAGATTAGTTATAACGCGCCACCAAACGTTGGATAAAATCATCTCAAATTAAATCTCGGTATTAATTATATCCCTCTTACCAAACGAACCTTATAGAGTTTTAGTTCGGCAGAATTCTATAATTTTGCCAAAATTCTGTACCAGTGTTAAGAAATTCATATAACATGTATAAATAATTTATTCGGAACTTAATAGACAATTTTTTTCTAGAATTTAGAATCCATAAAGTCAAAGTTCCATATCCAAATCGAAATTAGATATTATTCCCACCAAACGTGGGATAAAGTCATCTCAAATTTAATCTCATAATTAATTATCCCTTATCACTCATACTAATCGAGCCTTATTGAGTTTTAGTTTGGCAGAATTCAGTAATTTTTGCCAAAATCTGTCCCAGTATTAAGAAATTCATATAACATGTGTAAATAATTTATTCAAAATGAACTGTTTTTTCTAGAATTTAGAATCCATAAAGTCTGAAGTTCTAAATCCGTATCGAATCAGCTATTAAAATATCAATGTAAAAGTTTGAACAATGACTTCATAACACTTTTAATTTGTTGTCTACACACATTTTTAGTTTTTATTAAATTTTGGCACATTCATTCTTATCTTAGACCATAAATAAGCATACAACAAACAAAGGTCGTATATAGTCAAACATTAATCAGCTATTGGAAAGTGAAAGTTGTTCCATTTATCAAAGACAAGGTGTAGAATTAGAACTATTGAATAAGATTGAACAGAACTGGTTAGCTAATTAAAAAAAATCAATGTGGATATCATAATTCCTTCCAATATATTTTTAAAGAAAAATAGAAAAAGTGGGTGAGAAATGTACACCATAAAACAACTCGTTTTCTAAAGTTGGTACAATGGCCTAAATTTAATGACTAATTTTAGTTTCAATGTACTATGTATTTATTCTTTTTTTTCCTTATTTTGCGATGGAATCATAATATTATAGCTAATTCGTCTCCTGTGGCGGAGGGAGGATTTCCGCCAAGAGGGTTCAAAAAACAAAAAAGTTAGTAGAAAAGAGATTGCAGCCAACGGAAATTAAACTAGTGACCTTACAAAGGTGTTGAAGCCCTTGACCACTGGGCTATGCTTTTGGATTGTGTCAAGGAGAACCAAAATATAATATATAGAGGTAAAAAACAGATTTTGCCTTATATTTATAGTATAATTTTCCGGCGAAGGGCCCCTTTTGCCCTCCTAAATCCCCCTTGTTCGTCGCTCAATAGCAACGATCTATCGCTAAAATCCGCCGATAATTCTTTTCTTTTCTTCTGTAGTATTCCTCCTGAAGATCCTCTGCAATATGTTTTTCCCTCCGTCCCATTTTATATGAAGGTTAATCTGAGCATGAAATTTAAGAAATTGAACGAATTAATTTGACATGTAAACCAAATATATGCAAAGTATAATATAATTATCTTTTTAAATAAGTTGTGATAGTCCATATATTTTTTTATTCTCCCTCTCATTATAAAAGAGTAAACATTTTAAAGCAGGTGAGTCCCAACAAAGCATGTCATTAAAAATAAATTAAAAAATAAAAAATATACCATTATGATGGGATAGACTAAAAAGAAATACTATATCATATGGGCGAAATAACAAATAAAATGGGTGCATGTGAATGGACAATTGGACTTCTGTGGTTGATGTTGAGACAACTTGTCCTTTTATCCTTCTAAGGAAGAAATATTTTTGGCCTTTGATTTCAATATTTCGATCTCATCCTCAAACTATATGTCGCACACTCAATTTTCTTAATTAAATTCTATCATATTCATTCTAAAAATATAAAAGGACCACAAAATTCCCAAAGTAAATTAAAAATACTCTATCATTTATATTTGCACGATTTTATATTTCCTTTTTAGTCCGACTAAAAGATGATCTTTTCTGAAACTTGAAATTAATTTAATTTAAATATTTTTTTTATTTTTAATAAAAAACTTTTATTATCACATAAATATTAAGATATTTTAAGTATATAAATTTCAAAAGTTTTTTTCCTTTCTTAAATACCAATCATGTGGAATAAGTTGACATAATCGAGGCGAATGAAGTGCAAGCAAACTTCTCTATAACATCTCTATATAATAATCATTTATTATAAAAGTTAATTTTTTCTCTAAATGGATCGTTTGAATTATGTTATAATATATATCTAATATAACAATATTTTATTATAGCGTCAAAAAAAAAAAAAATCGAACCAAACACGGCTATTATAAAAAAATCTGACTATATTATATTTTTTAAAACTAAAGGAAGGAAAAGAAGGCTTCTTATCTATCATAACCAGAGAACTGAAACACTGGGAAAATGGCGACCTTAACACCTTCCACTCTGCAACTCACAAAATCAAACTCAATCTTCTCACAATCCCCCATCAAACTCCACGCGCCATCTTACTTCTCCTTCACCACACGCGCCACCACGGACGAATCCTCACCGTCCGACACAGAAGAAGAAACCGAAACATCCTCGGACCTGGACAGCTTCGAGAGTAAGCTGTCCCAAGTCCGGCTCCGGTATCGAAGCGGAACGGGTAAAAAAGCGGAGCTCCGAAAGACACGAAAGGGCAAAACAGCAACAGCCGGATCGGGGTCCGGGTCGAACATGTTCCTCCCGCCAATTCCACTGAAGGAACCGGTATCTGATGGACTAAATGTCGAATTCGGGTTCAGCCCGTATTCGGAGCGGGTCAATGGCCGGATCGCGGGTCTCGGGTTAGCAGCTTTGCTATTAGTGGAACTTGCGACAGGTAAGAGCGTGATTAATTATCACACGCCGTCAATTGTGTTTATTCAGATTTATTTTGTGGCGGCTTTAGCGGCTGTGTATTTGAAGTTTGAGAAAGAAAAAGTTAGTGTTTGGCCTAAATAGTTAGTTTACCTGCTAAGCAATGAGCTGCCTTTGTTGAGCTCATTGAGAATCTTTTTTCCAATTTGTTGAACAGTTTATTATACCATTATTAAAATGTGCATTTGTATTATAATTTGTACCAATTGCTAGATTAGCAGAGTGTCTGCTAGAAACATCCTCTCTATCCTGCTAAGGTAAGGATAAGGTCTGCGTACACACTACCCTTCCCAGACCTCACTCGTGGGATTTAACTGGGTTTGTTGTTGTTGTTGTTGTACCAATTACTAGATTGATATTCTTTTCATTAATGTTGTGCTTATGATTCTCTAGAGCCGAGGTCTATTGGGAACAACTTATCTATCTTCACTAAGGTTTATGTATAGATTACTCTCCTCGAACCCCACTATATAGGATTATACTGGTATGTTGTTGTTGTTTGCTAGATTGTTGCTGAACAAATATTATATATTTGGTCACATCATTTGAGGCGAAGGTTATAAATTGCAGGAAGTGAGATTTATACAAGTCTTTATGAGTTAGATTAGCAAGAAACCAAACTAGAAAAGGAAATAGTCCTTATCGTTGCAACTATGTGAACTCATTTGATCCTACACGATGTTAAGTGGAAGTGGTCACTTTGAAGGGGAGCCCGTGAAAATAGTTTCTTGCAGAAATGCAGCGTAAGATTGCGTACAATAGACCTTTGTAGTCCGATCCTTCTCTGGATTCAGCGCATAACGGGAGCTTAGTGCACTGGACTGCCTTTTTGGTCACTTTGTATTAGTAATGAGAGCAAAATACGTGAGATGTAATCAATAGATTTCATTCAACAAAGACCTTTCAGCAAAATCAAAACTCCTTAGTACAATCGATTTCGATATGTCAATTTAATTTAAAGCGGAAGAGGAGAGAACTTGTAAGTCAAGGCATTTGGGAAGCGACAGGGGCGAAGGTTTGACCACCCTTCGTTGAAAAATTATACTGTATATATAGGTAAAATATTAGATTTTAATGGTATATAACATATATTGAACACGCTTTATCGGATCTTTTTGTACTTATTTCAAGTTTGAACACTGGGAAGCGATCCAGTCCGGCTTAGCGGAACTACTTGAACTCGAGTCTTTCAATTCCTTAAGCCATATCCATACTAGAAGAGCTAAATTAAATGATGACTAGATTCATTTTGTGCAAGATAAAGATGATTTTCTAAACTTGTGATCTTAAACATGTCATAACATTTGTGTTGCTATTAAGTTTCTTATCAAGGGTAATATAAAAACTATATGTTAAATTGTTTCTACTTTAGAAAGAGAGAGATCATTTTTTCTGGAACAGATAAAAAAAGTTTGGGAAATAGATTCAGAAAAACTGAAATGGCAAGTACTCCTTCATCCTTAACCAGAGGTGTCGAGTTCGAGTCCTGGAGTTGCCTTTGTTAGGGAGGGGAGCGCTTTACCCCCCCCCCCCCCCCAATGTGGGACTTCCCGGTGCGAATCCGGATTTAGTCGGTCCCCTAATACCGAACACCGGGTGAGAAACCAAAAAAAAGAATTGAAAATGAGGGGAGTAACTTTCTTTATCTGTAATGCTGTAAACACCAACTCATTTCCTTAACTAGATGAGCATTTGAGTTGAGGATTATAATTTGCAAGAAGTGAAACAACTGAATGATTTCCAAAAAAAATTCTAAAGTAATGTGTAGCAAGAACCAAACTAGAAGTTCTTTATCTTATAGGTATAGGTAACTTAAAACTGATAAAAAGAAGTGCACAAAAACAACAAAATCTAGCCCTATGTATAACAGAAGGAAACAGGAACCTGAAGTTCATAATCCAGTTAAGAGTGATCCTATTGTCTTCAAATATATTACCAATGTATAGGAAGGATCCAAAAGAGAAAGGGCTCAAAAGTCAATGCATTACTATCTTGTAGAGCAGTTCGCAGTAAATACAGTCAGACCTCTCTATAACAGCATCCCTATATTATATTATTTTATAATATATGTTCTCCATCACAGCACTTCACTATAACTTCCAAAATATTCGGAACAAACGATACTGTTATAGAGAGGTTTAACTGTACCATCCTACAAACGGAAAGCAAGGTCTGCTACTTCAGTACTATTTTTCTACGAAAAGGGAAAGTAAACGCGCCTTCTTTATAATGCAGTGTAATACAAAAAATAATTGCATGTAATACAAAAAATAATTATAAGAAAACTCAATAGATTTGAAACATAATAATCAAATATGTATTAATATTTTAGACTAACTCAAACTTATAATTTAAAATAAATTGTGATATTATTTTATTTATAGCTAAAACTTTTATATATAAAATTTAATTATTTTTGTAGTAGGTAAGAGATTGTATAAAACAAAATAGAGATAGCGTGAGGATACTTATACTTTAAATTAATTTAAAATCATATAAATTAAATAACTAAATAATACTCAAAAATATTATTAATAGATTTAAATAGTAAAAGAGTTTTGAGTAAGAGGATAAAAACGTAAAATACATTAATCTCAAGAATAAAAAAATCTATATTTATCGATGATTATTAAAAGGATAATAAGCAAAAAATTGGCAAGCTAATAAAAAATCACATGAGAGTATACCAATATTAAATAATGTAAATAATATGAAAACTATAAGCAAAGAACGAAAAAAATTGTGTAAAAACCTTAAAAGAATAAGACTTATTTGAGTTTGAGATGAAAATAAAGTGATAATAAGAATTATATTAATATAGTATGATTCAATATGCTCAAACAAGACAAATCAATCACATGACATATTTAGCATTTTTAATATTGACAAGTAACAACCCCGAACTTAAATCTGTTGTCCATGATTGACTTAGGAGTTTCGGTCATCCAGTTATCGCAAGTAGAAGGTAGTCAAACATATCTTTCTATAATTAGATACCGTTATATTGATTTTATTAGATGGTTTCGTAATTAGGCAGAAAAGGTCCTTTCAATCTCTGTTAATATTTCTCGATAGCAATTTTCTGCCAACTTTTTAGTTTTCCAAGAGAGCAATTTTAGCTATTTGTTTACGAGTTCTCGCCAGGTCTATTGAAAAAAAAACCTTTATCTTCACCAAGTAGAAATAAGGTCTACGTGCACACTACCCTTCCCAGACCCCACCTGTGAAAATATACTGGGTTTGTTGCTGTTGTTTACGAATTCTCGCTAGTTATTTGAAATGGATTCATCAATTAAAGAGGGCATGTGGAATAATTGAGATCCCTCAACCCTCACATGTCGAATAATGAAAGGTATCAATTCGAACCCTGATAATGAAAAACTATTTGATGCATAGTACTTCATCCCTTCAATGAGTCGACAGAGCAAATCCGTATTAGTTGAGCCAGTGGCTTCAAATGCCAAAGAGTTAAGGTTAAAAGAGGGAATGGATGACGTCTCAAGAGATGAAATAGCTGTAGTAGGAACATCCATCTCAATGATATTTGGTCTCATAGATGGTTGCTATTGTTATATCATACTTAAACCTGCATAATTCACCTTGGACAATTATCCATCATCAATCAGTTTCTCTAACTTGTAAACCACGCGCAAATCAGGATTAATTGAGCCGGTGGCTTCAGAAACGCGAATAGTTACACCAAAAAGAAGTTAAAAGAGGACAGGGACATCTCAAGAAATGAAAATGTAGGATGCACATCCATCTCAATGATATTTGGTCTCATAGATGGTGTTATTGATATGTCATACTTAACCTGCATAATTCACCTTGGACATCAGAGAACCAACCCAGTGCTGGTTAAACAGTTGTAAACCACAAAACTCAGTGTCATTTACCCCCGAGGCTTTACAAAGCCAGCATATTAGCAACTTAAACTAGTAGTAGTATTCAAGCCAGCATACTAGCAACTTAAACTAGTTGTGTTCAGGCCAGCATAATAGCACCATAAACTAGTAGTGTTCAGGCCGGCATAGTCGTAGCACCTTAAACTAGTTTCAAGTCAACTCAGTCTAGAGCATCTTAAACAAGTAGTTTTCTCCTCCAAAAGAACAAATTGCAGGCAGCAAAGGTAAAAAGCACGTTCCTTGGACGGCTTACTAGCAAAAAGATTTCTTTTTCTGGAGCAAAAAAATGCATAAATGCATACTTCCAAAAATGATGAGATGTTCATTGAGATATTAAGTGAAAGTCTGCTTCTTTTCAATAAGGAGATATTAACACCTCTTCAGGCAAGACTCCACTGTGTCTAGAGCCACCTTCTTATACTTCAACATTTCTCATTCGTCCAGATGCAATAAAAAATCAGTCTCTGTTCCTCATTACACGCAGCAAATTACCTGTACCTGTAAGGACCAAGAATTCTTTTACAGGATCCGAGCGATGCGGAAACAGTGTTCCCCACGGCACAGCTGCTGATATTCCAAGTTCAGTGAGCCATAAAATCAAAATCTTCTTCTTTTCAATCTAGAGACATCAAATCCCTCTTCATGCCAAACTTGCCCACTCTGTCTAAAATTACCTTCTTGCTCCTCCACATTTCTCATTCGCCTAGGTAAAGGTCGATCCTTGATATTTGCATCAAATTCTCTTTCCCTAGTGTTATTTCGTTCAACAAACTCTTCATCTGCTTCTGGATAGAACCTAAAAGGCCTAGGGCCACCATCTTGGTTGAAACGGAAAGTGTCATTTTCGCTGTTATAAGAAGGACGAAAAGAACGAGCAGGTCCTCCTCGCCTCTCGCCATACTTCCTTCTCTCATCAGTACTTCCACCACTACGAAGCTCAGGAAACCTGCCAGTGTGTATCGGCCCATCAAAGTAGTCATCACCATCAGCCCTCTCCCGACGATCTAACATCTCAAGTCTCCTATTTCTAGTAAATACCCGATCAGGTGGACTTCTTCTGATAGAAAGAGACCTTGGATGCCCATGCTCCTGTCCAGCATCCACATCCCTCATATCATTCAGACGCCGAGCAGTATACGATGGAGAGTCACGCCTTCGAGGAACCATATCGTCAGTAAAAGAAGTTCGTGGGGAAGACCTCATCCTATCTTCCCTGTACATAGCTGGAGACCTGTGCTGAGATGAATCTGGAAGACCATTGAATCCTTCGGTCGGTCTCCTCCGAGGAGATGACCAAGGGCCAGGGGGACGCGTACGGGATCTAGCAGGAGATTTAGACCGCATTCGAGGGAAACCTCTTCTCTGCATCGTGGTAAACTTTGTATTACCCCGAATGAAATGACCATCTGGTCCATCAGAGCCATCTTCACCAGTGCATCTACTTGGGCTGATATTCCTAGGAGCTCTACGAAGCATTTGAATACCCATCATGGCAGCATCTTCTCTTCCATTGGGGGACAGCCGCCGTGCAGGTGGATGCCGAAATGAAGAGAAGGAATCATTTAATGGCTTCCTCCTCCTATTACTAACAAAATCAGCACCATCGAGTCTATCATAGTCATTACGTTCAATTTCAGATTCCCCAACAGCAGCAGTACGTTTACGTCTAAAACGATAATCAGTGCCACCTCCATAGCTTTCAAAATCACGCCCAGAATCCCAATCACTACGCGAACTATCAAACCGGCCCGAACCCCTCCCTCTTCCACGCATGAAGTTCCCCCGTGAGCTGCCAAATGACCGGTCCTCATTCCTATGCCGGACAAATTTAGGACCATCAGCATAAGTTTCATCTCTGGAAAATGCAGGAAGAAAAAGTCATAGTTGAGCAGCATTCAGATACAAAAGAAAAATTACAAATCAAACAGCAATGAAAAGAAAAAATTACCTATTCTTTCGTAGATGGAATTTCTCCTCCTCTATATCAGAATACCTTTCTCTTCCACTTCTTGAAGGCAGTGACCTACCTGTAATAGTTCTGACATTACTAGGAGATGTCACATTAGATGCACGAGGTAAATTGATAATCCTGCTCTTGCTTCCAACATTTGACAAATCTTTATTAGAGTTGGCATTAATAGATGTTTCAGCATTCTGCAAAGATGAATCAACTGTTGGTGCCATATCAAATCCTCCAATATTCTCGTTATTAGCCTCGCCAACATTTCTGCCAGACCCACTGCTTCCAGTAGGCGCTTCGTCACATAAGACATCCTTTTGACATCCCTCCTGCAGAACTGCTATTCTTGATTGATCAACTGGTCCTTGTTGAATAGCACCAATAGGCCTCTGCTCATCAGCTCCTGTTGTTTCCTCCTTATCCAATAACGGACTCCGCAAATTACCGTCTTTATGATCAATTTTGTCAGCTTTCTCATCACAGCCTTTCACAAAGTCATCATTACTCTCAGTATGAACTGGCAAACTGTTATCTTTTTCATCATAATTGACCTCAACCCCAGAAGAGCCAGCAGAATGAGCACTTTTGCTATTTTTTTCCGAATCCATCCCCTCAGCAATTGGGTCTTCTGCAATTGACTGCATCATTGGCTCACGGACCTCACCTTCTTCATATTCCTCATCCTCTCTGCCACACCCCACACTCTCAGCATCAACATGTCCCGCAAAAGCATGATTACCATCAGATTCATAATCAGAACCATAACATTCCTCTTCTGTACCAGCTGATATACTTATCTTTTCCTCATCAATTGCCGATCCCACACCACTTGCAACCAAATGATGTGTCTCTCGTTTATCTTCAACATTGATGCCCTCCAACACAGATGCCTCCACTTTATCACTGGACACATTTGATTCTTTGAGGTCAAAGTTCGCATTTTTAGCAGCAATATCAGCATTTGCCTGGTCTAGAGCATTTTTACTTCTATTAGCTTCTTCAGTATGAACAGAGTACTCAGATTGAGTAGACAAGTCCCCACTCATCACAGACAAATCTGAACAGGTAGACAATCTAGAAGGGCATCCCTTTTGAGGGGTCAAAGGCATTGGCAGTGTAGACGAAGATGAAGAAGAACTCTCCTGAAGCTGCAAAACCCTTCCAACTGATTGGTGTGCAATCACATCTGACGTCATGGATATTTCCTGACTAACCTCCTGGAGTGGTTCACATTTCACTGGTTTTTGCTCGAGTAATTTCTGAGGACCCTTAGTCGACATCTCAGTAGGTTCCAGATTCTGCCTCACAACTTCAGGTTTTACTACATTAGCATCCAATGTTCCAGCTGGACGACATGCAGTTCCAGCATTGTCTTGTACCAAGGCTTCCTCGACAGGTTCTGACTTAACTGTTTTACGAGTGGGGGAATTCATGTTACTATTCATTGCCAGATTTTTCAGCAAACTCGAGTTCGGACTAACCCTGCTAGAGTCTACTTTAGCCAATGACTGCAGTATTGAGGAGTCAAACCCACGTAAAGTACTACCAAGACTGAGAGGAAGCACATCTGCAGACTTGTATGGTAGGCTAGGCTGTATTAATGAGATGGGAAAATTAAATTCCCGCTCACTAGCTCCAACAACTTGTTTCCCTTTATCAACATTAGCACCAACAACAGAAGCAGAACTAATAGAAGGCTCTCGGTCTAGTGAACTAGAAGTCTTACTTAACATATCAATGTGACTAGCATCTTGAACAGGAACATCGTCACCAGAACCCTCCCATGAGTCCATGGGAGTATTCAGATCCCAGTTAGATCTATTAGTGTGTGCAGTATCATCAGAATCATTGTTATTCAATCCATTCTTGCAACTTCCGTCCTGGGAAATGTCCTTCCCTTTATTCAAAGACAGAGAAAGCAATGAAGGATTTACAGTTCCACGCAGCAGGCAACTCCCCTCAGTATTTGGATCAACCAGTGAAGAAACACGTGGTTTCTTTGGGCCTAATGACAGTTCAATATGTCCAGAATCAGCAGGAAGTTCAAGTTTACATTGGCTTTTCCCTTGTTTGGCAACAATTTCCTTCTTCACATTCACTATGGTCCTACCTGGAACTTCCTGGCTAGCTAATTTTTTGGCAGAAGCTGGTTTCACTTGATTGTCTACATTTCCCGAAGGACCAGAACTAGTATCAGGGTTTGTTTCCCGAGATATGGTTAAAAATGGTTGCAAAGTAGGCGGAGAGTCAACATTCGGATCAGAAGGTTTTTCCTTTTTTACCTCTAAAAGAGTATTCTTGACAGTATCAGATTTACTTGTACTATCACAAGAACTCAAGGTAGAGCCCTGGACCAAGCAAGAACCTTTGGTCTTGGATTCACTTTCGTTAGACAAAGAAGACGGCTCAGCACGAGTAGGTGAAGGAGACTGGACCATAGAGTACCACCTCTTCTTAATAGGGATACCTGATGACGAGTTACTGGGCTGCCGGGAAAGAACCCCAGGCTGCAAATACATGACGAAATAGAACGATATTAAAACAAAGCAAGTATTACACAGTTAGACCAATTCAGCAGCAAATCATAAATCAGATCGAGACCTCTTCGTTGCCTGAAACTGGCATGGTTCCAAAATCAGCTAAATCTTTTATCTCCAGAAAATCTCACTCAAGTACAAACGTTACAATCAAGTTGTAGAACACATCTGAAACACTAGATCACAGTCCTCTAATAGCACCCTGCAACCAGATATGCCAAAATATTATAATACAAAGGAAGAGAAACAAACAGTCAGAATCACCAAACATACACACACATATCACATTACATACACAAAAGAAAAAAGATAGACATTGGTGATATCAAGTGCAGATCCAGATGAACGAAGGGAAAAAAGTAAGCATCTGAACCTCATAAACACTACGAGGTAAACAGGATTGACCAAAATAATGTAACAAATAGTTACTCCATCTATTTGTCAAAACCCTTAATATTTTTTTAGGATGGTGGTGTTCGGTCCAGGTTACACACATCTCGACTATTCCACCAATACATATTGCCTTCTGCAAGCACAAGTACCGGTCAACTCTGACTACCAAGACTTAAGCTTAGGCAGATGGTAAGAAATCACCAAAAATCCAAAAATCCTAACATCACCCGCAAATTCCAATCTAGTTACAACTTAGCCAGACACAAAAACATAAAATCCCAGAAATACCCTCTCTATCCTTTGGTGCCATTGGATAAAATTACAAAGATTTTCAAGCTCTAAATTTTTTCAAGCCCTAGTTCTATCTGAATCAGATAATCTGATCATAAAGATGACAAATCAATCTCTAAAATACAACACACAAAACCATCATTTATTTGATTCATAACAGTAAAATAGTCAAAATCCAATCCCAAAAAAACCCATATATAACCAAAGAAAAAGCATATCCATCACTCATCAGATCCAAATTTCAGGTAAACAATCCATAAAACCCGAAAAATTCAAGCATCAAAAACAAAATTTCACCTGACAAAATTCAATCATACCCCCAAATTAAAGCACAAAGATAAAAACGAGAACCTTCGCTAATTTCAGACAGCAAAAGAGAGTATAATGGAGGAGGAAAAAAGGAGTGAGAAAAAAAGAGAGGAAAAGGGGAGAAAGACTTTTGGGTGGTGAGTTTTCTCGTACTATTTGATAGATTGGAATTGGTGTTGTAGTTGGTTAGGGTTTTGTGGACTTTTCAATAATTGCAATAACTTCCTTTATTTAAAGGTCCTTTATTTTCTTTCTATCTGTCATTTTCATTTCCCTGATTTTTTATTAATGACACTTTTGACTTGCTTTTCCTTAATACAATAATTGAAGAAATTGTAGGGTAGGTGGCATCCCATGTTTCCTCCATACACTTTACATTTGCTTGCAAATTACATCAGAATCTGGAATAAAGATTGCTTCAAACTTTATCATCAACCATTAACTCTAAAGTCTCATTTGGTATAAGTGATAAGGAATAATTAATTTCGGGATAATTAAATTTGAGATGAGTTTATCTCATATTTAATTGAAATAAAATCGTGGTATAACTTATCCCGGGATTAGTTATCCCAAAATTGTAGTATTTTTATATCCCTATGGGAGGGTGGAATAATTATTCCCGGATTAATTAATTATGAGATAGCTTGTTTCCCAACCAAACGACCCTTAACAAATTTATAGTGTGAACAAATATGCATTTGTAGAGAATCTGGAAATAAGATTGCTCCCAACTTTATCACAAACCATTAACTTTTGAGTGAATTTATCTCAAATTAAGTTATCATAGTTAAGTAATAAATATGTTAAAATAAATCGTAAAATCTATAGTTAAGTAGTAAATTTAAGTGAAAAGAATGTATCATGTACTTATTAGTTAAAATATTCATCTGAAAAAATACACATATCCTACGTTAATTAGTTTAATGTTTTAGTTTTTTCCTCAACATATCCAGGATAGAAGGGTGTGGAGATCGAAGATTAGGGTAGTTGGCTAGTAGGTAGTCGAGAGTTCCTCGTTCTTTTTTAGTAGTATTAGTAGCTCCCTTGTTTTTTTCGTTCGCTCTGTATATCGTATGTTCCAGTTTGCTATTGTTTGATGCTATTCTCTGTTACTGGTTTCGTTGTTGTTGTTGTTATAGTTATCTTTCTCCCCTTTTCCTTATCGTCCTTCGTCCCTCTATATTTTCTTTCTTCTTCCTCTTTCTCCTTCGTCTTCTTCCTTTCTCTCTTTTCACCTTTTCTTGAGCCGAGGGTCTATTGGAAACAGTCTCTCTACCTCGCCAGGTAGGGGTAAGGTCTGCGTACACACTACCCTCCCCAGACCCCACTTATGGGATTATACTGGGTATGTTGTTGTTGTTGTTGTCGTCATCTCGCATCTTTAATCAGTTAAATTATTTAAAAAATATATATTTTAGTCACTATCAAAAATAATAGTCAACAAAGTTTATATATTTTGTATATGTGTGTGTTGTATACAAAAATTATATATATTTTATATTCTTTTTGGTTAGCAAATGCAAGAGTTTTGTATTTGTCCTAAAATATAAAAGAGACAAAAGAAGACAAGATCAAAACATGGGAGATATTTTAGAGGTCTCTCTACAAAATTAACATACAATTCTGGTGGACCCAATCTACTGGAAACAGCTAAGTAATTGAACTTTGAGTTGAACTGTTCAACCTTTATAGTGGGTGTATACTTTTCTTTTTCCTTTTTCTCGCTGGCGGGACAATTCAGCTCTTATTTTGTTTGGTGCGATCGTGACAGGGTCTCCACATTTATTGCGTTATTGCTAATTTAGTCCTTTCTCATTTCTTGTTTTGTAAAGGGATGCCTCAATTTAAGGCCTAGTTCCATCCAATTGTCATGTGACCAAGAGGTCACGGTAAGTCATGAAAACAGCCTTTTGCAAAAATACAATGCAAGACTACCTACAATAGACCCTTGTGGTCCGACCCTTCCCGGATCCCGCGTATAGCAGAAGCTTAGTGCACCAGACTGCCCTTTTTCTCCATCCAGCTGTTCCAAAGAGCAAATAGTTACCAGTGGAGGATCTCTAAAACAACAGTAATTAAGAGTCATTAAGTGTTTTAAAGGGCAAAATGCAGAGATGATTATCTAAAATCACAGTTGACAATAATGTCCAAACTAACTTGTGCACACCTTGACTATTTCACCAGACTTGCTACTTTTCACCGTAGCTCTGTTCATCAAAGCTAAGGGGGATGGAAAGAGAATACCATGTCTTTGTTCCGACTGGAACTTGAACTCTGACCTTTTATAGTTTTCACATACTTTATTGATCGATAGCCACGGTTACGTTACCAATTGCAACTGAGAAAGCATGAACAAGTACGTTCCTCCTCAATAATATGCAAATACACTTGAGATGTCCTACTAATTGCAATTGAGCAAGGCAATGGAGAGAGGAATTTGGTTGGTGGGGGGGGGTGGGGGGTTAGCATACTGTAGGACTACAGGGATGCTTCTTAGAGACCAATTTGCCTGGAGATCATGCTCTCATGTAAAACACGTGCAACTAACTGATATGCTGTACAAGTCAAACTTTAATGTTAACATCCACATAAATTTTTTGCTCACACAAGGATTAAGAACTTGGTGATTTCCATATATACAGCAGTCCCCTAAACAAGAATTCATGGGCACCGGAAAGCTCCCAGAGCAAGTTTCTTGCTTGGTGATTGACAGTCTAATGAAAAACAGAAACTCATGAAATGTAAGCCTTAACCAGCTGTGTGTAGTTGCAGGTAAAGCCTGTCCTGGGACATGTGATTCTGCCATCATTCCTCTTGGCCATCTCTTCAAGTGCCTGCCATCACATAGATGTAAGTCACATTGTCACTGAAGGAAGCACAAACACGTAAGCAACTACACGCAAACCTTGGTGCTATAGACATATCCATTAGGCAAGACAAGGGGTGGATTTTCAGTATCCATCAGCTCTTTGGTTATGTAGCAAACAAGCTTCGAGTGATGCTGTTTTGAATATGGTAGTGGCGTCGCTAATTTACGAAAGCTCTCCTGTGATAAAGGATCCTCCTTTGTGCAATCATCTTCATAACAGAATCTATAGATTTGGTCAAGGAGAAGCATGGAGCAGATAAATTTATAATTTTCCTTCGGTTCCTCTTTTTCTTTTCCCAATGACCACATGGAACTTTGGCCATGGGGGGAGAGGGAGCTTGAAGTAGTGCAAAGTAATGAAAAGAAACGCACAGAATCTCAATTACTAAAAGAAAATATCAGTAGTTAGTAAATCTTATAATCATTACCAGCTGAGATTATTCCTACTTCCTCCATGTAAAAGCATAGAAAGAAGACAAGCCTGATTAGTCTGTCACTATGTAATTGATTGATTTATATTTACTTGATTCTTAATAGTAAAATACCAGTCTGTGTAGTGATCATTTGCAAGCAAAAATTTCCTACAAACCAATCGTTTGTTGTGGATACGGAGTTTTCAATGCAGACAGCCCTGCTTGAAGATATATATTCAGCAACGGCTCAAGAGTCATGCCATATAACTTGCAGAACTCCTGTTTGAATTGATCAATTAAGTAATCCCACTGCTTTGGTTCAAATAAAGCCTGTAACAGAAACAGACAATTGTCAAATAATTCTACATATATTGAAAATCAGCTTGTACTGCTTTTATTCTACTCAAGCTTTGATTCTTCATATACCGCAGATATCCATCTCACAAAGACGTGAAGAAACATAAGACCAAGGAGGGAAAGCGAAATCAAACCGACATAAAAAAGATACGATCAAATCGAGATAAACGCAGGTAAAAAATCATCCTTGAATCAAGAAGAATTTCCATACATGATATCTGAGAGTTCCAAAATCGATGCCTAAATACATATTTTTTTATAGGTAAATCAATGCCAAAATATTGTATTACCATCACTCAAACACTTGAATTAACACAATAACAAAAGTATTACACATTACTCTTCATGTTCATTTTCCTCCTGTTTTCCTTTCAATGTTTTCCGACTGAACTACTTACTTTTGTGTTTTTTGAACACATGCAAAAGCATACATGGAACAAGTCATATACATACTTAAATGTAAAACATATAGAGCACAAACTTATATTCGTCCAGTAATGAGTCAGAAAGTTGAACTAATTTAGAATAATGCTTGAAAGCATTGAAGGTGAAAGAGTCGAACCAAATTGAAGAAGCTACTGAAGTATTTTAAACTCTCATAAATGTTTCGACATAAAAGTGCAAATAAACACTTGATTTCAAATATACAGAAAGCTAGCACGAAAGACCTTAACCTTGTAAGTTGCACATTCAGTATTACTCTTGAAAGCAAGTGTCGCCAAGACTCGCTGCAACTCTTTCATATGGGTAGAACCCCAAGGTGCAAGATATTTCCGAGCATATGTAATGGCCCGCATCATGTTTTCAGCTCTTACCAACTCTATGAACTCTTGCAGTCTCAGCTGGAACTCAAATTTGCTCTGTCAACAAGAGAAGCAATCATCATATTGTATTTGCAGCAAAATGTTCCAATTTGTAGCACTACTTCTACCAAATCCCAAGAGAGCACTGACCCAAAGAATTAACTACAAATTGGGGTTGAAAATAATACACCCTGTCTCAAAATGTCTGACGTGTTCCGCTTCAAAAGATTCAAACCAAGTAAAACGTATTCTTTCACCATTTTGATACTGAGAATAAATTGCAATTTATTTATCCTTCCGTAAAGCTTTAGTATCAAAATTTTAATAGTTCGTTTAGCTTCAAATTTTGGTCAAATTGATCATCAATAAAGCAAAACATATAGAATAAATTGGCACAAGGGGAGTAGTTATACACGCAGATACTTAGTTTTTGCTCAGTGATATATTTTTTGTGACAACATTCTGCAGTAGCCATCCGATCATTATCCACTAACAGTTAGCAGTGCGCAATTTAGTGATTCATAGGACCTAGTCAATTAGAAAGGTCACTTCCACGACCACTCATCCCTTTTTGGATAAGTTTCATGATGATTTATCTTTCTGACGTGCAAAACTTTAGTGAAACTTGGTAGAAAAGGAAGAGCAAACTTTGAGGATACATCTGACTTCTCGTTTCAAAGTATCCGGAGTTCAGACATAAGAGGATGCATGAACATGGTTCTCTGAAGCAACTTCATCCAATAAAAAGGAACTTTCAGCATTTCAAGCTCACAGCTCATCCACCTCAATATCCAGGATAATGTAGCCACACTCAAACAACCGTCCAGTTACACCTCAATAAAATGAATCCCAAGTATTTAAACCAGTACATCCTTTAATCATTGAATGACAGGCGGGATAATAATACGGGCTCCCTATTATTCAACCATTCAATTAAGACAAAGACAGGATTCACCAACTGCAGTCATGCTTTGCACTACTATGCAATGGCTATTGGTATTATAATTATATTGTGCATTTACAACTCTGCTATGGCTACTACAATAGTGAACATTTCAAATCAAAAGGTATAGCATTGTAGCAACAATAAATGCAAATAATATGGATCATCCATGTCAGATACTCTTATTTAAGCTTTGATCTCCTGAAGCATGAAGTAGCTCACAACATGAACAAAACGGTTCTATTGATAAGAGAAGATAAGTGTACTACCCACTGGAATGCAGCTTTAAACTCGAGACATTAACGAAATAACAAACCATAACGTTTACATCGTGCAAGCAGCAATCCATCCCTCAGTTTTAGTCCAGAACTGTGCAAGCGAGGTAATGCATAGAGATAGTGATAGTACCCCAAGCCCATTTTCTTTCCTTTATGGATCTCATCACAATCTGATGAACTATGCTACAGTTAGAGAGCAGATGCAGAGTCCTCAACGCATACTTGCCAAATTATACCCTGCATATTGGACAAGATTACCTCTGACTGACTTCAGAATATCCAAGAATATAAATACCCAATTCTACTTGTGAGTCTTGTGCGTGCTAATGTATGCTTCGGATGCCAAGTTTCACATCATATGCAATGATCAAAAGAGAAACTGGAACCAGTGGCACCTTGGGAGTCGGGACTGCTGTTACACAACTCTTATACATCTAACCTCCACAAGATATACAAGGTCAAAGAGAGCCATCTGATTATAGCATCTCAAAGAGAGTTGCCAGCCCCAGATCGCATTAAAAACCTTTCATCAATCTCTCTCTCTCTCTCTCTCTCTCTCTCTCTCTCTCTCTCTCTATATATATATATATATATATATATATATATATATATATATATGGTTTTCTCCCCTTCAATAAATACAGAGCTTCATGCCAAGGGTTGGCTGTTCAGGTTGGTGTTGCTTCAAGCTTCAAGCCACAGCACGGATTAAGTAACAGAATTTAAAATCCATTTAGATGGTCAATGAACAACAACATTGAGTTTCCTCCATCAAGTCCCTCGAGTAAAAGATCTAGTATGTGAAGAATAAAATCAATCACCCAATCATCAGCTGGCTGTCTATGACCTTTTGCAAGCTCAATTCAAAGTTGAAAAGCTATTGATGATACTTCAGAAAGATGAAGAATAATATTCTCTTGGTCACGTAGATCTTTGTCAATCAACATGGGGAAGAAGGGTTGTAATTACAAATTCTAAGCACTAGTTAATTTATGAAGAATATGAGTGTACTGAGCTTTTTTTCTTTTGAAAAGGTAAAAATAAGCACACTAAACATATAACACTGGTTTACATGTTTTGCAAGGTCATGCTAAAGAATTTCTAAGCAGTATGTTATAAAAGGACCTTTGTGCACCAGGCTACCCTTTTTTGTGTTAATCAAGACGGCAATGAGGTAATACTGATATATCAACACGTAATTTGTGCTTCCAGTTGCCAACAAACTTTCCTCCTTTTTCATGCCTTTCTTCAAGAAAACACATCAGAGGATCCCCCTTTTCCAGGGAATTCAAGGAGAACCAATTCAGGCGATTATGTAGTTCCTGATCAACCCATTGAGATTTGAGACATATGCATCCATTACTACAGTCTATTGGAAACAGCCTCTCTATCTCCACAAGGTAGGGGTAAGGCTGCGTGCACACTACCCTCCCCAGACCCCACTGTGTGGGATTATACTGGGTTTGTTGTTGTTGTTGTTGTTTGTTGCATTCATTACTACAGTCTGATATGTTTCTTTCTTTGCAGAAGCAGTACAGTAGTGATCTAGCTTCATGATTGAGAAATCTACCACACCATAAAGAAAGACTAATATTTTCTGGTCTGAATGACCGCACTCTATGCAGCATCACAGCCTTCCGACAACAGAACACTCTCCATCTACACCTCTTTTGGACATAAATCTCTGCAACTCAATTTAATGATATTATTTGCCTATTGGCAGCTTTCTGAAAGTCTTCCCTAGCTATTTCAAATAATAGCCAGAATAAAGTATCCATGATCTCAGCAGAGGAAGGGTTTGAATGAACAACCTAATCCATACAGCAAAAGCATGCATGAGGCAACTAACATCTCTTCTAGAATCCATGGCACATGAGAAACTTCAAGAGGTGACTATCAGATTAAGGTTCGCATGATCTGGCAGAAGATGTGGTTCGGAATGGACATTGCAATGTCAACAGCAAAGCAAGGATGGTACATTTAATATCTGCTACCCGTTGCAGATGAGAAAGCTGAATAAAATGACACTCAACTAAATCATAAATCTCAATTAATATGCCACCAGTCGCATAATCCTGTTACCACATATCCTAAGCTGATTTAACCCGTTAAAAGCACAGCAAATAAGTTAGAAACCGGCACATCACTTTAAGCATATTATGCTTGAAATATCCTTCTTCACTAAAGTAGGCCTGATATATCCCTTATTGGGAACAACTATAACCAAAAAAGTGGACCCAAGCAGAATTTCTGCTCCCTAGCTTGGTTGCAGAAACGATGTACCGAAGGCTTTACAAACGCTAATAAACCATCAAGCACACAGTGGAAATGCCTTTCTCAATAAAAATACATCAGGCTTCTCATCAGTTTTCACCCTTTCACTAACTTTTCCCCACGTTCTGCACATTGGCAGCCCAAAACATCTGAGTCATAAAAGTTCTAGCATTCTGTGACATGCACCGACAGAAGTCTTATGTCCATCATAGTAGTCAGAAGTAGATCCACTCAACCCAGTTAACATGTTAAGAGGCTGATCTGAAACTTTTCGTGCTTTTTCATATTTCAGCTACACGACTGAATAACAATTCATTGAAACCAGAATTGGTGGTTAGCCCAGTGAAGAAAATAAGTAATATGAAAATGATGTTATATTGATGAATACTCTGGTTCTGCATAACAAATATATTTAGGACTAGAATGAATTATCAATTTTATCACAAATTACAATACAGTTATAGGATGAAGGAATTGTTAAATCAGTAATAAAAATCTTAAAAGACAAAAGCTCAAAGAAACAAAGATAAATGTACCTTTGATTTCTTTAGCCTGGATTTGTTATCAGCACACCAGGCTAAAGCAGGAGTCACCTCCTTGTTTTGAAGAGCATCAATGACCTTTTTTGCTTCATGAAAGACGTCAACGTCAACAAGATCCTGGAATAGAAAAGATCAAACTAAATCACAATGACTCAACGTTTTGCTGCATGGGTTTTGGTTAAATGTCTGTATTGAATGCCATAATGGGGTTCTTAATAATACCACAGTGGAGTTCTCAAAGATAAGAAATATTACTTTACAGATGAAGGAAGTAAATGGAGGAAAGAGATACCCCTCCAGAAAAGATTTAAAGAGGATTTATACATCTATCACTTTCCTCCAATCGCACCAAACATCCAAAAGTAAATGACTAATCCTCTATCTAAGAAAAGTAATACAATAAAGTTCCATTTATTTACCCTTCCTCTTCCCTTGATGGATTCAAACACAGTTCTAGAGTAATTCCGAAACAACAGCCAACCGTTGAAAGTTAAGCACTTTATGTAAAATTATATGCTAGATAAGAGAAAGCTGTCAGCTAAGGGGAGCTTAATGCAACTCATATGTAAAATTATATGCTAGATAAGAGAAAGCTGTCAGCTAAGGGGAGCTTAATGCAACTCAAAAACTGGAACAACATGACCATTTAACCAAATAAATGATACCACATGCTAAAGTAAACGAACTCGAAGAAAACCCACCTGGATGTTGCTGCTTTCAGCAAGCTTCATAGCAGTGTCATAATATGACATCCGCAACATGTAATCTACCAGTATCCGCTTCAAACGGATATCATTCCAATCTGATAAATTTTCTGGATCAGCAGATTCTAGATGATCTAGCCGTGCTCTGCATCTTTGCGCTTGCAGGTTCTCTGTTCGACTCCCCTCTTCCAACTGATTGTTGACACAATATAATATGTTACCTCATTTTCAGCTGATCAAAGGATGACTGAAGCTTTTCAAAGCTTCGTGTTGGGTTGTATCTAGCTTTTCAAACATATTAGACTAGCCAATAAACTAAATGAGCAAATTGGAATACAAATCCAATATTCAACAAAAAATAGAGAAATTAGACACACAGATACACACACATATGGATGTTTCTCTTGCTTTATCCAATCTTATACAATAAAATAATTGTTCTCACAATACAAAACCACCTTTACCTAACTTTAACTGATCAAAAACATATCTGAAGCATTTCATATTTGACTGTTAATCTGTTATTAACCTTATAAACAGATTAATCACTTTTGAATACAGGCTGAAAACTGAATGAGCATATGTCGTACATTTCAACATCCAACATCCAATTAAGAACTGAAAATTCACACACACTCTCTAACAGACACACACACACAAAATACCTAGAGAAAAGTTTTGCTTCCTTGATCCAATATCCACTCTTATCCAGTAATATAATATGATACAGACACACATATACACAAACACGCAATACACAGAGAAAAGTTTTGCTTTATTCATCCAATCTCCAATCTTTTTTTCAATTGCTAACACGCCCAATTCAATCTCCAATTTTATACAGTAATATAATATGATACACACAGCTAGTGGGAGCTGCCTATTATGGTAGCACAACCATATGAAAATTTTCCTGACACGAGGGTCTACCGGAAACAGCCTTTCTGTCTTCTTTAAAGGCAGGGGTAAGGTCTGTGTACACTCTACCCTCCCCAGACCCACCTGTGGGACTACACTAGGTATGTTGCTGTTGTTAATATGATACGAACATACAATACACAGAGAAAAGTTGCTTCCTTGAACCAATATCCACTCTTATATAGTAATATAATATGATACACACACGCGTGTCTATTTGTTTTTGAGAAGTTTTGCTTCTTTCGTCCAATCTTATACTGTAAGCAAATATGATTGAGCTACTCAGCAACTTCGGTTTGAGTGTCTGTGTGTCTCTCTGTGTGTATGTTTTGTGTGTGATCGAAGTTTCGATTCCTTTATCCAAACTTAATATAGTAGAACAGCAAAATCATAATTAAGTTACTCTAAGTACCTTCCGTTTAAGCCCCTGCAACCTGGAAACAAGTGAATTGAGTCGATTTACGGCATCATCACGGGACATAACAGAGTCAGCGGCGGCAGCGGCATCCGAAACGCCAGAGATAACAGCGGACACTTCCTTCTCAACAATACGGTGATTGGATCGAATCGTCTTTTTGTAATATTCGAAAGGGACACGGAGGAACTGGTGTTCTAATTTGAGTGATTCGGAGAGTTGGTTCAGTTTTGACGACGGAGCGTTAGGCGAGATACCGGCGGTTGGAGTGACGGCGGTTGGGGTGACGGCGGTGCTGCTGGCTGTGGAAGTAGGCGAACTGCCGTTGGGAATTGTTTCCATTTCCATTGGAAAAAGTGAAGGTTAGATCGGAGAGACAATGTGGAGGAAGGAGTGCTTCGTTGGGCAATTCCTGATTAGATAGAACATCTAATTGGTAAAAAGCCACGACGTCGTTTCGGTTTAAGCAGACATGTATACATGCCGTTCGATAATGCGACTTTAAGTATTCTGTAAATGCTATTTATATTTTGTAAATCGCATTAACCTAATTGTAATTTGTGATCGTATTTTATAGATGTGATTTATAGGTCAATTTTTTGAAATTCCTAAGTCACTTTTCTATGATGTCTAAGTTGCATTTCATAAATGTGATTTAGGCTAACATCGTCTCCAGTACCTTAGTTAATCTAGAATACATGAAAATCTCATATCACATGCGCGTTTTATATATTTTTTTAATTCTCACAAAAATTACACTAGTAAAAGAATTTCAGCTTATGATTTCTAAAGTTGCATTTAGAAATGTGATTTAAGCTAACGTCACCTTCCAGACCATATGTTACCTCAATTAACTTATAATATATGTAATTCGTATATTGCATGTGCATTTTTAATATTTTTAAAATTCTCCCAAGAGTATACTCCTGAGAACTTTTTTTCTGCCAAAATTTTGTGTGTGTGTGTGTGTGTTTTTTTTTT